CCTCTGTTTTGAAAAAATTGAATGAGCCAATTCTCAATCATTCGAGGTTGTGACTATGCTAGGTGAAATATAATAGTCACATTAGATGTGGCAGTGTCATGTAATTCATCTGATCATTCCCCACTTTGAGATACACAACAAAAGTTATCTCGAGAGTTATCTGTTTCAGTTTCGCTAATGTTAAGATGTGGCAGAGAATCTTCAAACTGTAAATCAAGAATTGGAACGTCTGATGTGCTATGTTGATCATTACAAGATTGAAGGAAATATGCCTGATTAAATGAAGCAGGCTGTCTATTTTGATTAGGGTATGGAGCATCTCTCTTGAAGAGCACTTTCAAACCGCTTAATTTGAACATTTGCCCTTTTGTAATATTTGCTAGAAGTATCTTTGCGCCACATTATATTATTAAACTTTAAATTACATTGAAACAACGAGCAATGAAGGCAACGACAAAAAAACAAACCGAACAACCTACGGCCACCATGACACTCACTCACACAACACAATTGAAAACTGGATCGGAGTGTAGATCGGAGTAGGTGCGCACTAAGTGTATTGTTGTTTTTATTTGTTAATGTTGATTACTAAAAGATGGAAATACACTAAGTGCGCACATGCGCACTAGTTCTGCCAATCGAAAACGCCATTAGAAAACGCCCGACTTCCTATTCCGACAAGACTCGAATGTGAACGAATAACTTAGCGGGAAATTTAAACATAGGACTGCATAATCTTCCTGTTTTAGCAGCTTGATTGCATAATATATTGCATTTTTAACCTATCAGATTTCTACAAAGGCTGTCATGCATTATGGTCATTGGATAATTTAGGAAATCATTTTTTTTAGCGGTCAGGTTAAATTTATTAATAAAAGAAGTAGAGGTAGGTTAGAGTGACTTGAATTAACGTTAGCCTAGAAAAGATCCACTGATCCAGTCCATTCATTATTATTAGGTATATCTGACCAAAATAATCCAGTCATGATATTAAAATTAAATAACATTTTGTAATGCGTTGTCAAAAATTTTCAAGATACGTACGTAGTACGTACTCGCATGTACGTCCGTTGTGAAGTCCTACAATATACGTAAATAGTACATACATGGGGCACGTACTATGTACGTACACTTTTATACGTACATAGTACGTCCCTAATTGGTCCCGGGACGTACCGACGTAAAATGGACATAAAATGTACGTCCCTGGGACGAAGTGTGCTGTATGGGATTTAATCAATATATCAAATATTTACAAATTTCTAAAAAACCGGTCAACCACCATATTTAAATTCACTTTTCAATACTCATGAACATTCTTATTTTACCAGAAATGTAAACAGTTTGAAAGTCCCTCAGCATAGAACGGCGGCTGTCAATTTCAGATATATTACAGCTTTGTAGCGAGAAATTTGTGGCATCGACTTCCAAAATGTATCCCAACAGCTTTCGTATGAAAATGAAGGCATTTTTGAATTTAAAATTGAAAACTACAGAGAGAAAATTATCCATCCATAACCCCGCGGCGACCGCTTCATCAATTTTAATGATTCTTTTTTTAAATGATAGGCAGATTGTTTATGAAGTATGTTTTATCATTTAGTCTCTATTTCTTTGTGTATAACGAATAAGAATTAAAAGGTACCTGAGAAACACCTAACACAATATGCCTACCATTAGAAATAAATTATTTGGCATTGTCAGTGATGTACTTATCTATATGCTTATCTATGTTGATGTGTCAGTTATATTATATATCAAGTTTTTAGTTTATACCCTGGTTTTGGATGCATAAATATTCTTTTAAATGATATTAGTTTATTAGCTAGACAAAGCGATTTTAGAAAAATCATCCTATTCAAAAGTAAAATCATGTCGGAAATTTGTTTGTTTGAAAATTCCTTACTATCTGGTCTAGAAGTATGAAATTCTGGGGAAAGGATCTTTAAGTGAAGAACAATTAGTAGACATTTTTGAAACTCATCAACTAAATGGTTAAAGTTAGTAAAAACTTATGTAAAACTTCGTGACAGCTGAATTATACACACAAAAATTGGCACAAAGGTTCCTTTAAAAGACATGAGTTAATTAGTTGGACAAAGCAAATTTAGGAAACTTATACCATTGGGGAGTAGAATGGGGTATGAAAGTTTGCTTTATGAAAATTTTTACTATAACATTTAGAAGTATAAAATTTATATAAGGATTTATTTAGTGTCATGAATAATATGCAAGAAATATTTCTTATTTAAATTATTCCTCTAGGTATAAAAAATAACCTATAAAGAGGGTATTACCAACTGCTCTTAAAATTCTTATATTGACGTCTTTTATTGCATTTCAGGTAAAAAATTAAAATAAAAAAAACAGTTTTTTAAGGGGGTAGGTATATTAAGAAAATCGACAATTGAAAACTTTCATCTTAAATATGTTAAAGCTATTCATTTTAGAAATACGGTTTATATAGGACCATAGTAGAGCAATATCTATCTATCCATAGAGGGTAAATGGATATTTCACTAGTTATTATTTTCTGGAAATTTTCTTTTTTCAGATTTTACAAAATATTGATTTTGGCTCGATTTCTAAAACACCCTATACATAATTAAGAAACAAAAACCCGTCATTCAAGAGCGCCATCCACCCTCTATTCAACCATATATAATTAGTTTGAACCAATGGAAGGATACAGAAAAAGATTGATACATTTGAAAAAAAAACTGTAAAAAGCAAGATTTCAAAATAATTTTGAGGCCAAAATTGAACTTCTTTGAAATACTTTCATTTCAATAATTTTCAAAATTTTTAAGATTGTTTATTTCAGAACGGTATAATCAAGAATATATATATTTTTTTGTAAACAAAGTGTACCTAAAAGTCATATACAAGCGATGAAAAAGTAAAAAACGGTTTTTTAAATTTTGGATTTTTTTTAATACATAATAAGGGATAAAGAGGATAAAAATGCTCCTGAAATTGTTATATGGACCGTGATTTTAAGTAAAAAATGTGTAAAAAATTAAAAAATAAAAAAAATCTATTTATTTTGAAATGTTGTACGTGAAAAAAGCATGAAGGAAATGTATGAACAATTCGAGGTGTCCGCGAACAAAGTCGCGGGAAAAAGCTGGTATTTATTTATTATTCTCTGTTCATTTCATTTATTTAATTATTTTTTTAATTAAATAAAGATAGAAATAAGAAACGAAATAATATATTAGTAAATGTATTATTTCGTTTCTTTCAACAACAATAATGGCCACTTTATCTTTTTCAAATCAACGAGATGCCAGCACGCAATTTCTAGATTACAGATTTTTTTATGCGGTATGGTTAACAACAAGGTTTACAAAAGAACTTAGGAATTAAGAGAGGCACTCGAAGAGGCGGTACGGAAGAAGTTTAATTAAGTCAACTGGTCGTTCTGTGAGACTATTCGTATCTAGTAATTCTGTTTTAAAAATATGCATTTACGTACTCAGAACAATGGCTGATTTTTTGAACATTTTCTAAAATAACTTTTGTGTAAACTTAAAAAAAATATATCACTACATAAGTGTATTTAGTGATTTTATTTTTTTAAGTTTTACTTTTTGTAATATAAATTGTAAAGAACCGTTTAATAATATATTCTGTCTTTTTATAAGTTATAAATCATAACAGAATAAGAATACCATACCAACTAAGTGAAATCAGTCAAGAAAGATAAGAATTGGCTATAACACAGTAATTTTTCTAAAAAAACCTATAATACCTTATGCTTATGGTAGAGGGGGGGGGTGTCATAATGAAAGTCATATTGGAACCACTCTATTGATGCGCAAGTATCTAAATTATTTAACTTTTCTAACATGTGTTCAAAACCTTTCTCTAAAAAACGTAAATAACGTTCACTTGTCAAGGTATTCTCGAAAACGTATGGCCAAGAAAATTTGGACCAATAACGGGTCCATTTACTTTTACACGCTTTTCTTCATTTGAAAAATTCATATTTACAATTTGTGTTAATTTTAATTTACAAAAATTGTTTGGATGTGACTTGTTTCCAATGGGTAACGATTGAACTTGTTTCCATGTCTAACTATGTGAAATTGTTTAAAAATGATACTAATTGGCTATTTTTCGAAAATAATATGTATTCGCTATAACAGAAATTTTTCGAAAAAACATATTATAGCTTATATTGCCGAAAAGCTTAAAAATGGCGGTTTTTATGAAGTTTTGGCCAACTATGGTTTCCATTTAAAAAACACATGTTTGTGTCATATGTCAAGAATGACAGGCTTTAGAAAAAATCGGAGAACACAAATTCATTAGGGATGTGATTATCTACAACTTTTATCTGAAAACTTTTTGTCTAAAATAGATTATAATGGAATTAGGGACGATTTTTAAAATAGCCAAAATTTGTTTTTTTTCCAAATATCTAGTAAGCCATGAACTTTTTCAAAAATCTGAAAGATGCATAAATATGCACTTCTGTTAGACCCCTCAAAACTGCAATTCTTTCCCCATTTAACCGACTCTCTATCTCCAGTAGTTTCCGAGATACCCATAGAGAACATCGTAGGAAATTCGCCCTGTATAGAAATATATTGAATTTCTTAAATTTATTTTCATAATATTTTTAATATTTCGTTTACTTAACGCTTTCATTTAAACAACAAAATTCGAAAGTAGAAATTATTCATTTGTATATTATTATATTTCCGTCCTATGTGTGTATTTTACAAATATAAGTTTTCGTATAGCAACTTGCCCTTAATATAATAATTAAATGACATACAATTGTAAGATTTTGTCATTACGGTGGCAACAACACTCCCTCTAAGAATAGAGAATATAACAGCATTCGTGTGAATTTCAAGGAATGTCATCTATATTTAAATAGAAACTTATAGCTAAATATAGAAACTGTGCTCTATTTTATGCTCGAGGGTAAAATAAATGGATATATAAAAATTTAAGAAATATGTTTAATAGGGTTTTCTTTGTTTCAGGTGTTTGATTGCCGTTATGTAACTACCACGAGCGGAATGTTCGAGGCTTTATGTAACCACATAAAGTACAGTACAAATAAAGGCAATATTAGGTAAACTATATATATCACAGTATTACGGCAAATACCTCTTTCAATGGTGCCATATTTTTGGGTGAATAGAGCTCCATAAAAGTTATATTACTGTAAAATACGAGCTCAAAATCAAAAACTTTTGGTCATATAATTTGAAATAGCATTTTTACCATTATTTATATAAACCAGTGGAGTATCATATCCAGTAACGTTATGATGCGTATCTTATTTCCAGAAAAACTAATATATTTTGTGTAAATTCTCATTGTGGTAGTGCGTAATGACCAACTGTTTGAGTTCTGTTAATTGAAACTATGGTTTAGTTTAACAAAAACTAATAATATGTAACTAGTTAATAGTTTGTATACTCTAATAATTAATTTCGTATCAAGTAATTTAGATATAAGAATAAGTTTAAATAATTTAGTGCTTTCTTCAATAGCGGTCAAGTATTTTCATAAGTCATGCAATTTCTACAGGATGTGTCTCTATCAAATATTTTGAGTTTTATATCAAAAATAATTTTCAAAAAGAATAAATTTACGTGGAATGGACATGACTGGCGAAAGTTTGAGGATGGTCGGCAAAACAATTATTATTATTCAAGATAAACGTACTTTGACTATCTCTTACAGAACTAACGCATTTGCTTTCCGTTGTTGTAGTTGAATCGCTAAGTTTAGAAAGGAGTCATATTACAGAAACGGTATTTTACAGGAGAGAGAAAAACCTGTTTTAACTTAGATAAGATATACGCAATAATCTGAAACGAATATATCACATTATCTGGATTATCTATAAAGCATATATAACAGTTTAATGAATATCCAATATAAGCTACGTCCATGGAGACAATTTTTGAATTGTAGGTATCTCTCATTTTTTCATTTAACATAATTTTATTTCCGGTAACAGTCATAAATAACAATAAACTTGTAAAAATTGTAACTTTCCTTCAACTCTGTATTATACAGGATATCCCAGAAATAAGTGCAAGTATATGAAGGGGTGGTAGATCTCGATAAAAGAAACATATTTTCTCTTTATCGTTTTTCAACAAGTCCAAAATAACGGAGTTATATTACATTGAAAATTTCCAAAAAAAATGTTTGCTAAAATTTTGAGAACCACTGGATCTTTTCTGGATTTTCTTTCTTGTAAATTTAATCTACTACCTATTTTGCCATATTATCAATAAATTATTTTTTTAAATAAAAACTAAAAAAAAATTAAAAAAAAAATTAAAAAATTCCAAATTTTCAATTTTTTTTTGCGCAAAAACCTTATAGGCGTGTTTCTGAGGTTGAACTATACTACCAGTTAAAATATTTGCACTTGTTTCTGGAACACCCTGTATAAATGTAAACGTAACTTCGCGACCGGCATTGGTACTAATGGATTATGAAGTTACAATAGTGCCAGGACGTTGGTCGGAAGAACCAACATAATGGTACAAAGATGCCAAAAATTTCTTCCAGTCTTTAAGGGGCTTGATTGGGCTTCTTGATTCAAGAGAAAATGTACTATTTAAGAAATATGTAATAATATTAATATAATAAAATAATTTTCTTAAACATTTTTAACTCTACAAATGCGTATCAAGGCGTGATTCTTGTTCTGCTCGCACACATTGGCGTAACTACAGGGGGCCCGGGGGTGCCGGGCCCCTCCGGGCACTGCTGGGCAGCCCCCAGAGAAATCCTGAATTATGACTCTTGGCTACGTATTAATTTTTATTTGCTTGTGATGCAGTAAAAATGACGTTTTCTAGTTTTGTTTAGTTAATATTATTTTGTTGTGTTCAAAAAATGAGTTAATTTTTATTTTTTTAGTAAATTTGTAGGTATTTAAGTAATCTAGGGGAACACGGTTTGATAACCAAGTCTATGAAATTTATTGATAGAGAAATTCATGTAAATATCTTATTCAAAAAATGTGTTTTTTTTAAATTATTTCTCATTTAAAAAAAAAAATCCTAGGCCCCCCTGGGCTCAGCCCCAGGCCCCCCGAGGCCCACCCCAGGATAAATTGCTAGTTACGCTAATGCTCGCACAGTTGTCGTATTTTCCCAAACGAAGAAGGAACAAAGGTTTGGAGGCAGTGTACCCGAAACGACATTACATCTGGTGATTGCCTTGTCATTCCTTCATGATATACGTAACTTGTCATATCATCACGCATATTATGAAATTCAAAGTTGTTCGCATTTAGCTGACGAAAATAGTACAAATCTTGTACATTTTCGATAAATCAAACACTGTCATAAACACAGTTCGAATATTTTGCAGCCCTTGACCTTGGAAGCAACGTCACTCTCCTTAAGTAAAGTGTAAAACTTCTGGGTTATTCTTTTATGTACCATCAGTGCATGTTTAAACGCCACGTAGTGTGACGACAATAATCGCAAGAGAACGAACAATATAATAAACAACAAAGATATAAAGATATAAAAGTATGATATAACAAATATTCTTTTACGTGAGGAATCTCCCCACGAGAGATGGCACATGCTTTTGAAACACCCTGTATAATAATTATATTAATATAATAGCTTTATAGCAAATTTAATAATTATTAAAATTAAATTTTTTATGCTTTTTTTCATCTCTTTAAGATCAAATTTGGATATTTCAAATTTTTCTGACTCCAGATTAAGTGCTTATTCCCCAATAAACATCTGTTATCTGATGTAGATTGAAATCTTTTAAATAAACACATTTAATTATAAAGCGAAATAAGGGCCAATTTATTTAATGGTCTATTAGAAGCGACGATTTTTCCATACACAATTATGATATATCTAGACCAAATATTTACAAAGTTATTATTATATAAAGATCTGTTATATATTGGTATAGATTTGCATAGTTATGACTTCAACTAACTTACTGAAAGTAATTCGTTCATTCTTGGACACTTTATTTGTTTCAATATTACATGCCCAAAATCTGCATAAACCACACATATATTACTGCATATAAAAATAGAAATTATTTTATTAAGTTATGAACTCAAATGTAGTTAACAATTTCTTAGTAGAGACACTCTTCTTGATCGTTCTAAATCTCCTAATTGCAAAACAAATATTCTAGTTTCCACTTACACCTAAGCTCGTCTTTGCCGATGAGATATTCGATTTATACTGCATTAAAGTTTCACTCGAGATTTGTATATGCATTTACTTTATCTCTGATATATGATTAAGACAGAAAATCGTAACGTGTCGGCGCCAACTTGATTTACTTGGAAAACTATATTCTATTAGCATACGCTTTGAAATTATCTCTGCGTTTGATTATAAGCCAATAAGGTTAGATAATTAATTTTAACTTTGTTTAATCGTTAAAGGCAACGTTTTCGACGATACACTTTCAAGTAACATTAAATATTTAATTAAAATAGAAACAATAATGTAAAATACTATATTTTTTCATATAGTCGTGATAAAAATTTGAATAATTGAAAGTGAAAGGATATGAACGTTAATTGAAAGAATCGGGTAGGCCTGTTCCAAACACCGGAAAACCGTTTTAACACCGGTGTTGAGCTGACACCGGTGGCCAAATATGGGCTATCCGATGTTCCAGCGTCGACACCGATACTGGTGTTTACACCGACACCGGTGTTGACGCCGACACCGGTGTTCATTTCGATACCGGTATTTATCTCGACATCGGTGTTGGTCTGGAAACCGGTGTTCATCTCGATACCGATTTTGACTACGACACCGGTTCTGATATCGACACCGGTGTTTGGTAAACGAGTTAAAGAAGAAATAATGTTAATTGATAAGTCCAAAATAAACCTGATAAAAATAATGTCGTATCGGTGCTTAGGTATTCTATCGTTTATTAAAGCGCACCGACTTTAACTTAAAGCTTTCAAACTTAAATATATTTTTTACCAGACTAATCACTAAAATTAAGTGGAAGCGTCAGATAAACAACTATAAAGTAAAAAATTGTTTAATCAAAACAAACAGAAAACAAAACAAAACATAACGAAACAAAAATTCGTAGCTGTAAAATAAACTAAAAAATATTACATTAAAAAAAAACAAAAAAAAACAAACGGCACCATCGACATCGACACCGGTGTTGATCTCGACACCGGTGTTCATCGCGATAGCGATGTTGAGATAAACACCTGTGTCGCAGTGGCGCACAGTGCTTCGAACATATGGCTCTAGAGGACAAAAATCAAAAACTTCTCTTTTATTGTAAGCAATTTATTCAAACTAGGTTTATTTGAGACAAATGATGAGTACTCTCATTGTACTAAATGATGATGTTCTTAGTCCCACGTTTATGAAAAAAAAATCTTATAAATAATAATAATGTTGGAGCTGTGTTCCATCTAAGCAAATAAAAGTTATAGTATGAAAACGGTTAAGTATTAAATAAATCCCTGTGATAAAAAAGAATTGAAATAACATTAGAACATGATTCCTACAATATAAGTCTAATATAAAATAAAAATGTTTTTCTTTAATTAATTAAAGAAAAACATTTTTATTAAAGTAATATTTAATTAAAAAAAAACTTAAGATACTATAAATTTACTTTAGGACAACAAAATGCATAGATCGTAACTACTCTGATTCAGAAGAATCACTGCTGACAGAATCTTCCAAATTTATAGTATCCAAATCACAGGTAGACGATGTATCCTCACATATAAGATATTTCTGTACATCATTTTATAATATGTTACTTTTTCGCGTTGTTACTGTTCTTTTTGTTGGTATGAGGGGTTCAGATGTTAATAGTTACCTCTTTAATAGACCATATCCATATATTATTTTTTCCTTTTCTTGGGTATGTGGTTTTATAATAAACTGAAAGATGGAAACTTTTTTTATGCGACGTTTCGCTCCAACATAGTGGACTTTTTCAGGCACAAGTGGTGTCTCATTTGACTGGAGGGTTCATCAATATCTAATAAAGAACACATTTTTTGAAATACATATAATTTTGATTTCTTGTCCTTATGATCGAGCCAAGTATTAACCAGATCGG